ATGGGGCAGATGTTGAAAATAATGAAAGATCCAGGAAGAAAAGTGAAACGTATTTTATTCTAAAGGGCGTATCGAAGCTTTTTCCAAAATGCGAGAAATTCCCGAATTTTGAAATTGATTTATAGAATTGATTTTCTCGTGGTAATCATTTTTTAATGCCAGAAAAGAAAAAAAATATGTGAGATTCTCGCGTTCTCGCTCTGTAGGGAAAACACTGCTAGTTATTATTTGCTTTTGTATACTGATTTACATCTATCAACAATGCAATTATAATATGCATTCAGTTTGCGCCTTTTCGTATTCAGGGTTGCCACTCCACAGGGAAAACCTGGAAAATGCGGGGAATTTTCATTTTTTCTTTACAAACTGGGAAAATACAAGGGATTTTGTTTTTTTTAAATTTTGATCTCTTAAAAAATGGTGACCACTAAGAGATTTGCCTTAGGCGCTTCTTTCCATATATGGAAAGAAGCGCCTATGGATCATACATATGGATATGTCTATAGATATGTCTTTGGTTTGCAGCGAATTCACATTTCTTTTATATCTTTGCACTAAACTAAAAAAATAAACTTAATGAATTTGAAATTGTTAACTTTTTAAAATGTTTAGAATAAAGAATTATGCAATTATATTACTTTATTCTAACAATCTACCACTAGATAATTATAAAAATACATACATATTTTATGACATTTCTAATTAAAATATTCTTAAAATGAAAAAGACTGACATTTTTGTTGAAATAAAAATTAAAAAGTTGAAAGAAAAAGTTTGTTCCTAATTAAAGTAGTAGGTTATACTAAAATAAAAAAGAATATTTTTGAAATTTTATTTCTATCATTAAATATGTTAAACTAAAAACATTTCTCTGTTTAAAATCGAGTGAAAACATGTTTGAATTCAAGAATAAAAAGTGTTACTTACATTCTTTTTATATAATATAGTTATCAAAATATATTTAGTATAATCAAAATCCTAAAGATGACAGCACTACACTAATTTTTGATGATATCAATGAAACGTAGTGTGAAAAAACAAATTCGTTTTACAAATTTGAGTTTTTTAAATTTTTTTTATGAGCCTAGCAGCATAAAATTACTTGATTATTAATATATTTTATAAGAATATCATTTGCATCGATAAATTAATAATATTTTATATATTTAACTATTATATATTATTAAATATTAGATATTTAATTAATATTTTATATATTTCACAATATTTTACTGGTAGTTTTAGGATCCCAATTACCTTAGCAAAATTTACCTATTCTTTTTTAGAATTACGAAAAAAAGTGATGTTTTAAGTCATGAAATGAATTATTTATATTAGTTCAAATGCAAAACATCAATTTTTTAACTAAATTTTTAAAATGAAAAATGTATTTATTTAGTGGTTAATTTTTTATGTTATGTAAGGTGAAAGAGTTTCTACAATAGGATTTAGTATTTTTGCGAGAAATACATCAGAACAAGAATTCTAGAACAAATAGGCACTAAAGGCACTTTCGTAGTTCGGATTTGCCGATAGGTTTGCTTAATTGTCCGAAACTCACAAAATGTTTACCTTTTTTTTTCTGTTTATCTTTATTTAGCTAATATTTTGTTTTTTCATGTGATGCTAATATCTCATTATTTTTCAATGATGTTTGTAAAGGGAGGAAAAGGAAATCATAGACTCTGTAGAATTGATACTGTTTAATTTGGTGCATTTTAAAAATCTGTATTCAGCTGCAAATAAAAATTCTGAACACCTCACATAATGGAGCAGCATAGTATAAAAAGGATTATCATTTCTTGCTCATAATTTGAAAGTGATGTTAAGATATCGATGAATTTCATATTGCATTTCTAAAAGGATAAGAGGGATAGACGTTGAGCATTTTTTAAACTAAATTTTGAAAAGTAGCATTAATTTGATAGATCTAATAGTTTCGATGTTATAAGTATTTCATGAGTAAAAGATATGTCAAAATTTGTATATTTCATACATGAAACCCTCGTTTCTTCTAAACTATTAGTTTAAAGGATGAATTTTGATTTTATTGTATTTAGCGTGAAAAATTACAATCGAAGCAATGTCTCGATTGTCTAAACAACAATGTGAGCTGCGTACATTGGTATAAGCAAAAATTGTTCTTACTTTGTGCACACGAAACATTTAATAACTTTTGTAACTGATAAACTGTTAAATCAGACAATTGGGTTCATTTGATTTAGTTTAAAGATACCCGTAGGTAACCCAGGGTTGCCACTCCACAGGGAGAATTGGGAAAACATGGAAAATACAGGGAATTTAAAAATCACCTAAAATAACAAATGCAGGGAATTTTCCTTTTTTCTTTACAAACTGGAAAAATACAGGGAATTTTGTTTTTTTAATTTTGATCTCTTAAAAAATGGTGACCACTCAAAGCGTAATTTATGGGATATTTAATCATGATATTTCACCTATACTAAACTATTTCATTTGCCATAGCATTATTTAAGTATGTTCAGCTGTTTTTCCAGCATTTGAAACTAATAAATATAGTTAGCCCAATATAGCTCACACAAGAGCACATTAATTGTTGTTTCCTCTTAATATATTGCGTATAACATGTACAGGGAAAACACAGGGGATTTTTTTCCAGATTTGAGTGGCAAACCTTTCAACCATACCTCACTTTCCTAGATAGCAAAGTTATATACGTAAATAGGTATAAGTGAAGTAAAAAAAAAGCTACTTTTTACACATAAAGCATAAATAACTTTTACAATATTATTCAATCGATTGAACGTAAAACAAATCGCAAAAATACTAGAAAGAAGTCACTTAAATCTATCTTATTTCACCTCTTTTCCTTTTAGAAATTGAATATGTAATACCCCTATATTTTAAAATCATTTCCATATCCGGGATAACCATTTTTATACTTTGCAGCTCTACTAATATGCAAGTGAATTGTTTAGAATTCTTATTTGCAGCCGTGCAGCCGAATACAGATGAAATGCACAAAATTAAATGGATATCAATTAATAATCTATAACGTCTGTGATTTCTTTTTCCTAAATTTGCTAACAGCATTAAAAAACTATGAGACAATAGCGTCAAACGAAAAAAAATATTAGCGAAATATTAAGATAAATAATAGAAAATGGTTGCCCGTTACGAGCAACCGTTCGTGCAATTAAGCAACCCTACCGGCTACTCCCTACCGCGAAATCACCCCTAGAGTTGAGGATAAAGTGAAGGTTACGCTTACGGTGGTTCATGTTTTTTCTCCTACGATATCCGTATTAGGGAAACTTAAAAATGAACGTCAGTTTGAAAGACATGCTCCGGAGGAAAGCGCATCTAAAGTTTTCCAAGAAAATGCAGTACACCACTGTTTATAATTGGAAGTAGTGACGGATTATATTGATGAACCCACTCCTCATTATTCTATCTAGGAAAAGTGGGGTCATGTTTTTTTTATTACCGTGATTGAACAGCCGAACCAATTTTCAGTTTGTGACTACTAGTGTTCTACTCCTTACCCTTGTAATTTTGAACCCAATCCAGAAGACAAGAGAACTCCAGGATCAAGTATTGGGAGAATTTGCCTTCGGGAATGGAACTAATCCGCATTTGCATTACATTGAGGGGAAAACCACGAAATCCCTCACGATTAGCCTGACGGCAACGGGGACTCTAACCCTTGATAGTCTACAACTAGGTTTTTTTTTATGTCAGCACTGTCATCCGTGCGAGTCGGGTGTGGAATTCGTATCTAGCAGCCATCACTGGGATTCAAACCCGGTTCACCTCATTGGAAGGCGAACGCTCAATCCCTTGAGTCCTCACGACTCAAGTGTAATCGTTACTCATTACCTTATTTGAATTTTATTATTATTTAATTTTAGATACCTACTCAAGTAGCAAGAAGGTGGTGAACATCTTCTAAAGCGCTAGGTTTAATAATAAAACTCGGCTCTGAATTTAATAAGATTGAAGAATGTAAGTGATTAACTCACAGAGGAATGATGAATTAAAAATGATGCGCTACTTAGAGAATTCATAGCATAAAGTGCGAGTGTTTCTTCACTTTTTCCTTTTTATAAATAAGTTCAAAGTAATTTCAATATATATTTTATAATAAAAAAATAGTTTGCCCAATAAAGAAATCGTTTTGAAGCGATAGCTATAAAATAATGTTTGTTAGCTTACTTGTTGTGCGATTTATTTTTTAATTAGTGTTAACTATTAATAATATTAAAAAATCTCCATAATAACATTTGTTCAATGCTTACAATAAAATTTAAAGTATCAAAATTTTCCCTAATTCAACATTTTTAATTTCTGTCTTGCTGTTATCCATTTCATTCAGAACAAAAAATGGCTGTTGAAAAAAGAAGATCTAACCGAAGACTTGAGAAACGCTTGTGGTCAGAACTTGAAGATGTTCGAACTGCAAATATGAAGGATATTTATGATATCAAGTTGATGATATATGAAAGTGGAATGTACTTATTGTGCCACATTGTTCACCTTATGACAAGGGTGCCTTTCGAATCGAAAGGATCATTCCGTATGACTATCCTTTCATACCACTGAAAATATTATTTCAAACAAAGATTTATCATCCGAAAGTTGATGAGGAAGGATATATCCATTTGGAAATTTTAAGTAAATATTGGAGCCCTTCAACACAAATAGAACAGGTTTTTCGATGTCTCATAGCCGTTGTCAATAAACCATATCATATCAGTGTAAAAAGTGAGGTGGAATTTTTTAAAAAAGCAATGGAAATGACAGAAAATTTCTCTGAGAGAAGACCTGATGATACCGATAGACCACTGCCCAAAGAAGTGGGTAAAATCGCTAATAGACTGAGAATAGAACTCGAAGAAATAAAAGCAGCAAATGTGAAGTGTTTTGAGAAAATACGCGTAAATGATATTTGGACATGGAATGGACTTCTGGTGCCCGATTGCGCTCCATACAACAAAGGTGACTTTAGGTTCGAAGTTAACATCCCCCCTGAGTATCCTCATGCATCCCCAAAAATATATTTTCGAACTAAAATATATCACCCGAACGTTAACGATTCCGGAGAAGTTGATATGCGTGAAACCTGCATCGAATGGAACAGCACAAGAAAGATGATTGACGTCTTCCAAGTTCTTCGCTGACTTCTTAGTGAGCCTGATGCTAATCACTTTCGTTTCTCTGAAGTAATTGAATTGTACGCCAAGATCCGTGAAAGGTTTCTAAGTGTTGCTGAAGAATTTGTAAAACAATTCGCAGAAAAATTATCAACTGAGGAGTTTCCTGAACCAGAAGGCAAGTGCCTTCCTCTCATGGACACAATTGAGAAAATAATAAGTTCCTGTTAAATCCATTGATTTAGAGGAAGGTAAATGCTTAGAAGTGAAATTAATAGAAAATGCTGGTCAAGAATCAAAACAACTATCTGAAAGACAAGAAATGTTTTCCTAATTGAAATTTCAGAGAAGGATAAATCAACAACATTGAAAAGCGATGAAGAATTTGCTAAACAGGCATTATTACCATAATTGCAAGGATGAAACTACAGTGCTTGTTTCTTTATCTTTGTGTTACTACTACCTTGTATCTTTAACTGTGCTTGTATCTGTTCATTTGATTTACAAAAAAAGAGCTTACATCTCTTGCAGTTTACCTTTTTGGCTCGTAATTATAACGCATGCACCCACACACGCATACCATTAAATAAAATTAATTCAGTTGAGTGCAAGGAAATTAAAAATAGATTTTTCTCCCACCAAATGTAAGCTTAAAATAATACGTTAAAAAGCCATTACTGGTTATAATTAGTTCTGTCTTTTATTTCAATAATAAGCTTAGGTACTGGCAAATAAGCAAAATACGTTACAAGCCATAATACTGTTGATGTTCGCCTTTACTTGCCAGCAAGTGCTTACATTATATTTGAACAATTCCTGATAATTTTTTTAATTCATCAAAAACTAGTTATCGAATGACAAGCACGTTATTTCTCCTTACTAATAACAAAAAGCATTATTCGTATTAACTGAGCTCCCCTTTGTCACGAAATGTCCTACTTCACCCTACCCCCTAATTTTCACATGTCCCGCTGTACTACATAAACATATGCTAGCAGTTCAGAAACAAAGTGCATGTTTCAAATTATATTTTAAATTTAATTTTTGAACTGTAACACTTTTTAATGGTTAGATGTGTACGTATTTTGATGGAAAATACTTAAACTAAATAAATGTATTTGATGTCTGGTTTTAATTAAAAATTTTATGATACTGGACTTTAACTCTGATTTGGATTAAAAATTTTAGTTTTAATCCAAATGTGTGACGTTACAATTTTTTGGAACCCTTTTAACCATGAAATCAATTATGGACGATTTATGTTTCAGACAGAAAATAAATTCCGGCTCGAACAGGTTGTGCTTATGCATGCCTATATAATAATTTGCTGAATTAGACCCTATTAAGTTGTAAAAATAATTAAAAACAGAAAAGTCATACTATTTAATTTTTTCTACATACTTTTCGTAATTTGATAAGTTATAAGGAAGTTTCTTAGTCTTGAATTTTGTGCAACATGCAACGCAAAACAACGTTTTTTTAAACTCTAGTTTAAAGCAGTATTAAATATTTATTATAATTATTATATAATTTTAACAATTATTTTTATTATAATCTATAAAAAGTACATCTTTAAGATTTGCTTCTGCATACAGTTTTTGAATTTGAATCAAGGCAACTCTTCATATTTTAAATTGATTTATGAGAAGCAGCTTTTTTAAAGTCTTTTAATTTAAAAGTATGAATTGATAAATTTAATGCTTTTTGTTTTATATAAATAATTTTTAAGTAGATATGACTGTTTTTAAGCGAAAACATAACTGGTTAATTCAAACTAATATATTCAGAACAGATATGCCGCAGAACATACTATGCTGTACAATACGAAAAAAAGAACACCCGAATAACTTGATCTGATGATTTGATTTTTAACTGCTAGGGCTCAATCTCAATAGTTTTTTCTCCAATGCCGACTTAGGGAATGACTTTTCGTCATACAGGTATCTTAAAACAGATTTGCTGACCGCTCGTTCAGGGGCACCATATTAGATGGGCCAACGTTGCTCCCACAGTAAGGACATATAGCACGGAGAATGAAAGAACATCCATGCCTTGTCCGGGATTGGAACACATAACATTTCTGATACAAGGCCAGTTCCTACAAAGTTTTTTTTAACAAAATGTTCAGAAACATATCTGACATGTAAAAACAAAAAATTTGAATTAAAAAAAGTTTGGCTGAATTTCACGAATTTGAAGGACACTTGACAAAAACAACAAATTAAAATAATGGTTGACTAATTAAGTTTTTTTTTCATTGAAGTAGCTGCTTGTTTTTAATAACTAAATTTAAAAAAAAAAAAATTAAAGCAAGAATAAATCAATCAATCAATATAAACATTTATTTCAACTTAATTAATAAATTATACACTTTAAAATTTGTTAAAATGATGTAAAACTTAATAAAAAAAAATCTTGAATTTAATCGATTAGGCTTTACTTAGCAATTTTTTGCATTTCTTTTTGTTAAAATACTACTAGTTCTTAAATAAAAAAATGCAATCGAATAATCAGACAAAATGTATAAAAGTATTTTAATGCAACAAAAGAGAAAAAGATAAACCGGTAAAAAACCTCTTATTAAGTATTCAACGCAAACTTATCTTTCCTATACCTCTAAAATTTCAAATCCCCTCTGCAGAGGATCGAAATTGTGATGGCATGTCTTCGGATCATCCTCAGGGATGTTTCCCAGACCGTCGCCAATAGCCCACTGTGCAGCTCTAGTGTGACGTCAATCAGCAACAAGAACAATTTCAAAAGAAAAAAACACCAGTACTTCATATTAATAAAAGAAAGTCCAGAAGCTGGTTTTGAAAAATTAACTAAAAGAGTCAATAGTTGCCTTAAATATTTTTCTGATGAGGAAAAATGTAGCTCCGTCTTTCAGGTTGTACTCCATAATGTTTCGCCTAGTACGTAGTAAATTCTCCAACTTGTAATTCTGCCCTCCGGTCAATTCTTTTGTAACTTACAGGTCGAAAGTTCCGAATTAAGATTGTCTATGTTGAATTTAAGCTACACACTATTCGGAACGTAAAACAAATATTATAAATATTTTTTTGCATGTTTAAACTATTTGTTTAACATTATTTCAGTTTTTAAAGTTCCTTCATTGATAACTTATATAGCTAAAACTTTTGACTCTTCTTACTCAAAAGTATACGTACAATAAAAATATTGATAATACAATCTTTCTCAATTTGAACCATTCATTTTTTTTCGTAAAGTACTGTCATAAATCTCTAAGTATGATGCTAAACCTTAAAACGGCTGTTAGATCTTATATTGACTGTTATATTAACCTTATATAAACCTTATATTCACTGTTTCAAATAAATTTAAAAGTGTTATTCCGAGTATAAATAATCTTTAAAGTAAAGAGGAAAATTTCAATATGAGTTTAAAAAAAAATGAGATTTTTTATTTTTTTAAGCAGAAAAATAGAAATAGATTATTTACTGACTTAAACAGAAGCTTTACTGAACAGGAATCTAAACAAATGTTTTGATAAAAATGTTCTTTTTTAGGTTAGAAAAAAAAAGAGTTGCTTAGAGTTAAATCTGAAAATGTGAAATCACTTTGCATGGGTGTTGATAATCTAGTTAAAGTAGGCTTAAGGGATGATTCATAACTAAATAAGAATAGAAAAACTTAGATTTCTTAACAGAATGCCAGAGAAATTTCTATTTTACAAATGCATAGATATTACTGATCATTGAATGAATTGAATAAAACCTATAAACATGATTGTTCTGGTTGCCAAAGTTGACTAACTATCGTTGAATTTCAGTAAAGATGGCTAAGATATGAAATTAAATATCTGTTTCAAAGCATATTGAAATAGCAATGTAAAAAAAAACTTCACGAATAATTTCTTGAATATCTGAATAAAACATTTTAGAGATACATAGTTGCTTTATAGATTTTCAATATTTTAGACTCTGGTCAAGAGCTATGTTATTAAGAACGAAACTGGAATTATAATTACATTGATTTTTAAATATGCAGTATTAAAGTGCATTGTGGTAGAAAAAACACATTTGCGTGAGTTTTGCTTGGCTTTTAATTTGAAACTTAAAATTATTTTTTTAAAGCTTTTGATAATTTCGTAATGATAATTGGTTATTTTTTTATTCTATCCTTATTTTTTCTCCTAAAAACATATAGCTGTCATTATAAATTTCATTTATATCTTCTTGCATGATTTTGCTTTGCGCCAAACCATACGGCTTGCTTGAGATACGTCTTCATTATAATAGAAGTTAATCAATAGTAATTTTTTCATTATGGAATTATCTGAAATTATATGTATTGTATTCAACAGTGCATTGTTATAAACTTTCGGTTAATGTTTTGACAAATCACTTTTTCGGT